ATCGCGCAGTGTGTCTCCCGGTTTGTTTCCTCCTTTACCAGCATGGCGGACAACAATTAAAGTAGTGATGTGCTCTTCACATTGGTGAATTTCTCTTAACTTTAAATGCCTTTCCCTCTGCTAGCCTGTTAACCTGGATATCGACCAATGCCTCAGCGAAAACATTGCGGAATGTGTCGCCCGGTGTTTCGGCTTTCATCTTTTGCTAGCGTGTAATTCAGCGCCTCCACCAGTGTCTCAGCCTTTACATCACTTAGTGTCTGATAGAGTGTCTTAGCCTTGACCTCTGCTACCGTGTCAGCCAGAGCATCAATTAGTAACTTGGTCATCACATCGCCCACTGTGATTCATAGTGTCGTGGCCTATACCTCTAGTAGCGTGTCAGTGTGTCGGTAAAAATCTTGGTCTGCACTTGTGGAAACGTGTCAGCCTGGGTATAGACCAGTGCCTCAGCTTCAACTTTAATCAGTGTGTCGACAACTGTGTTTCCTCCAGTCCTGCAACAGTGTTAGCTTCCTTTTTGCCCGGTGCCTTGGCCTTTACACATGTAAGTGTGTCCGCATTTGTCTTAGCCACAACCTCTGATAGCGTGTCAGGAAACGTGCAGACCATGCCTCAGCCTCCAAGTCTCCCAGTGTTTTGCCAACCGTCTTGGCCTCCACCTCTGCCAGCGTGGCGACTAGCGTCTGGGGCTACGACCTTCACATCCGTTACTGTCTCGCAAACTTTAACGGCCTCTACCTCTGCTAGCCTATCAGCCATCGTATTGGCCGATGTCTTAGCGTCCACATCGGGCAGAGTGCAAACAGGTGTTTCGGCCTTCACCTCTGCTAGGCTGTGATGCATCTTGCTTAGAAGAGCTACGGCCTCCACTTTACCCACTGTTTCGCAAAAGGTTGTCGGCAGGGTGTTGGCCAGCGCCTCGAGCAGTGCCTCGGCCTTAGCTTTGCCTTGTGTGACGGTAAGTGTCTTGGCCTCTTTCCTTTTCTAGCGTGTCTGCCAGCGTTTTAACCACTGGCCTGGCCTACATATCGCTTAGTTTTTTATCTTGTCCAGTGTCCCGGCCTTTATATCGGCCAATTTGTCGCCACGTGTTAAGGGTTTCACCTCTGCTAGCCCGTTAGCAAGCGTTTCGTCGGACGCTACAGCGTCCACATCGTGCAGAGTGTCGCGAGGTGTTTCGGCCTGCACCTCTGCTGGTCTGTGATGCATCGTGTTGAGAAGTGCCTCTGCGTCCTCATCATCGACTGTCTCACAAAAAAGTTGTCAGCCTAAATCTCTGCTACTGTGTTGGCTAGCGCCTCGAGCAGTACTTCTCCCTCAGCTTCGCCTTGTGTGTGGTGTCTTGTCATGTTTTCTTTGCTAGCTTGTCTGCTAGCGTTTTAACCACTGGCCTGGCCCGTGGAGACCAGGCCGGGTGCGCTGACGGGTGGGCTGGCTCCATAACTGCCAGTGTGGGGGCTAGCTTTAAGACTGGTGATGCGGCCTTCAGATCCGTCAGTGTCTTGCCAACTTTCCCAACCTTTACCGCCAAATTATTCGAGCTCTATTTCTGCTAGCGTGTGAGCCAGCGCGTCGAGCCGTGCATAGGCCTTCACTTTAACCTCTCTTCACATAACTCAATATGTCGGCATGATTCTCACTCATACGTCTGGTAGCGTGTCAGTTTTCCTGTCCACCACTTCCTTGGCCTCCATATCACGCACTGTGCCGTCAATTGTCTTGGCCTTTATCTCTAGAAGCGTGGCAGCAAATTTGTTGACCAGTGACCGGCTATGCACATGGCCTAGTGTGTCCTAACTTTCTTGGTCTTAACATCTGCTACCCTGTAAGCCAGCGTCTTGGCCGATGCGTAAACCTCCACATCTCTCCTGGATTCGCGGCAAGTGTCTTTCCCTATTTTGCCCGCTAGTATGTAAGCAAGCACGTCGACCAGTGCCAAGCCTTTCACATCACGTAGTTTGTCTGCAGGTTTCTTAACCTGCAGTTCAGCTAGCGTGCGAGCCAACGTGTTTTAAAGCGCCTTCAAATCCACATGCCCACGTGTTTAGGCAAATCTCTCGGCCTTTATCTCTGATAGGTTATCAGCCAGTGTGTCAACCAGTGCCTTAACGTCCAACTCTCCCACTGTTGCCATGTGTCTCGGTCTTGACTTATGTTAGCATGAGAACCACCGTGTCGACTAGTGTTTCGGACTCCACCTAAGCTAGGATGTAAGGCAGCGATCAGAGTAGTGCCTTGGTTTCTTCTTTGTTCTGTGTGTCTCCAATTGTTTGGGCCTTCATCTTTTGCGAGCGGGTCATGCAGCACCTCGACTAGTGTTTCGGCCTAGATATTACTCAGTATCTCAAACAGTGTTTCAGACTTAACCTCTGCTATCGTTTTAGCCATAGCATAGTCTGGGCCACCTCCTCTCCAAGTGTCAGGTAGTGTGTCGACCGGTGCCCCGGACTACAAATAGCCCAATGTGGCGCCACGTGTCTTGGCCTCCAACCCTGCTACCATTTAAACCAGCGTGTCGAACAGTGGCTCGGCCTACACATCACATAGCGTGTGCGCTTCAAACTGTCGTATCTTGTAAGCGATGTCTTCCATATTAGCCACTATGTCGCCAAATTTCTTAGGCTCCATTTCTGATAGGGTGTAAGGCAGTTCGTCTCGCAGTCTGTTACCTGGTTTTTCGGCCTAGGAAAACACATGACCAAGTGTGTAGGCAAGATTCTCGGCCTTTACTCCGACAGCTTGTCAGCCAGTGTGTCAACCAGTGTCTTAGCGTCCAACCCTCTCACTGTCGCCGAGCGTGTTGGCCTTTACTTATGCTAACGAGACAACCACCGTGTCGACTACTGCCTCGGCCTCCACCTAAGTTAGCATGTAAGGCAGCGTATCGAGCAAAGCCTTGGTTTTAATTTCGCTCGGTGTGTCACCAATGGTTCCGGCCTCCAGCTTTTGCTGGCATGTTATGCAGCACCTCGACCAGCGTCTCGGCCTTAATATTACTCAGTGACTCGTACAGTGTTTAAGCCTCGACCTCTGCTAACGTGTCAGCCAGAGCATGAAGTGGTGCCTCGGCTTTCACATCGGCCAGTGTTGTCGCCTATTCTCTCGGCTTCCACCTCTGCTAGCGTGTCAGCCACAGCATCAAATGGTGCCTGGGTCATTTTATCGGCCATTGCGTTTCCTAGTGTCTTGAGCTCTACGTCTAGTAGCGTGTCAGTGTGTCGGCAACACTTTTGGCTTGCACTTTCGGAAACGTGTAAGCCTGCGTATACACCAGTGCCTTAGCTTCAACTTCGTTCAGTTTGTCAATATCTGTGTGAGCCTCCAATTCTGCAATAGTGTCACCTGTTTTGACCAGGGCCTTGGCCTCCACACAGGTTAGTGCGTCCGCAATTGATTTGGCCACAACCTGTGATAGCGTGTCAGAAAGAGTGTCGACTCCACCTTACCTAGTGTTTTGCCAACCGTTTTGGTCTCCACACCTGCCGGCGTGCTGGCCAGCGTTTAAGCGTGTGATGCAATCTTCGTATCTGTCAGTGTCTCGCCAACTTTTTCGCTCTTTAACTCTGCTAAGGTATCAGCCAGCGAGTCCGCCGATGCGTCAGTCTCCACATCGTGAGATTGTCGCCTGGTATTTTCGCCTGCGCCTCTGCTAGGCTGTGATGCATCGTGATCCCAAGTGCCTTGACCTGCATATCTCCCACTGTCTTCCAAAAACTTGTCGGCCTTAATTGCCGCTGGCAAGTCAGGCAGCGTGTCAAGTAGTTACTCTGCGTCCACTTCCCCCTGTCTCGCTCACTGTCTCGGCCTCTTTGCTTTGCTAGCCTGTCTGCCAGTGTTCTCACCACTCTCTTCACCTCTATATCACTTAGTGTCTCATCTGGTCTAGTGTCCTGGCCTACGTATGGACAATTGCCTTAGATTCCAATTCGTTTAGTGTGTCGCAAACTGGCTAGGCCTTCACATCTGCAAGAGTCTCAACTTGCGTTTCGAGGTTGATAGTGATAGTGATAGTGTGGCAGATAGCGTGTCGACCACTGCCTTGTCCTGAGAGCTTGTTAGCCGGTGTGTCAACTAGTGCCAAAGCTTCCAACTCTCCCACTGTCGCCAAGTGTCTCGGCCTTTACTTATGCTACAACCAGTTACAAAAAGACTTGAGACATTGTACCTAATTTGGACGTCAAGGGTGCCTACAAGGTCCTCGCGTTTAGCCCCCCGTCTCCCTTCTCAAAGTTGGTCACAATAGGAGATCATGCTGAAATTTTCGAACAACAACATTGAAAGTAGGGGAGGGTGAGGGGAGTTGCTTAATCTTAGATATGTGGGATTTTATGCGATGTTTAGTAGGAAAGAGTGTTTTTCAGGTCAAGTGTGTCAACATTTTTGCAAGTGGTTGTCTGAGTACGGTGACCATGTGTAGGGACCCAGTTCTTTTATTGATCGGCTTAGTAGTTAATATAGTGATGTCTATTTAGGAGGAGTTCCCAAAAAATAGGGTTTCATGATATTGGCTTGTGCGATGTGTAAATGGCGAAGGAAAAAAGGCAATTTTGAGGTGTTGTAAGGATGACGTAATCGGTGCGACTGACGTTTCTTTCGAGTACCAAGGTACAAAACATGCCCGCATTGACAAATAAACAAGCGACATTTCTCATTTCATTTGGCTGTAAGGATGTCATTTAAACGTACTTACTGAAAATAAAGGTGAAACAAGTTTATTTGCGCGCGTTGGTTGAGCAAACAGAGTCCTTAGATGAACAAGATAAGGCACTACTCACGTGTTAGAAAGGTACATAAAGGAACGGTGCGTTGTGATCGCCTGCCAATCAATGGAGAGAGATTGATGGACAGTAATCAATATTGGAAATCAAACGTTATCGAAGGTAGTCTCGAATATTCCCTAATTTGTAGGAATTATTTCAAGTTAGTCATATTTCACAACATTTGGCGTAATCACACTAAGGTGATTTGAAAGTTACGCTGCATAGACTACAACATCGATGTTCGCGCGGTTCGCGGGTTACGGGGTTATTTCTTTGCTGCTAAAGTGGTTTGCAATGGATTTTCTCCAGGAATATGAAAGTAGTGATTTGGAAGCGACAGATGTTTATAACAGCACAAACATTGACGTTAAAGCTAGCGACAAGGGCGCTTCAACGAGTGTTCTAAATGTGAGAGCTGTCCGACAAGTGTATTTAATCACCTATAGTCAGGCGGATTTACACAGGTTCGCTGACAGAAATTCATTCGCGCAAGCTGTTCTCCGCTCTTTTGGCAGTAGTAACACAAACGTTGAACACTGGGTTTGTTGCAAAGAAGTGCACGAATCCACGGGGGGATACCACTATAATATGGCAGTGAAGCTACAGCGCCGTAAAAGGTGGTTGTCTTGTAAACGGTACCTAAAAGAAAACTACGGTATCTCCATGCACTTCTCCGACGTACATCACAACTATTACAGTGCATGGAAATACACCACGAAAAAGGATAAATTTGTTGTGGAAAGTGACGGTCATCCCGACTTGTCCGATTGTAAAGGCCCTAAAACTGAAACGGCCTCACTTTGCCGGAAAAAGTACATTGAAGATAGTGACGACGATGAAGAGGAATTCTCGGAGGAGTTCTATGAAAGTCCTTCTGATGACGCGAGCGAGACATGCCATGAAAGTGATTCGAAAGGTAAAAAAAGGAAAAAGCGCTTGTCTTCATTTGAACTCTCAAAAATAATTGTAACAAAGGAAATAAAAACTCGCACGCAACTGTTGGCTTATGCGAACAACCAAAAGTGCGAGGGGAAAAACGACATTGCAGAGTTTATCGTCAACAGAGGGCCCCGCGTAGTCTCAGAGGTGTTAACCACAGCGTGAGAAATGCGAAACGCGCAACAGAAGCTGGAAAGATCACAGAAAACTAGTGTTCAAATCTTACAAGAAGCAGCACAAGGCGAATGTATTGACAGTTGTAATGGACAGTGGCTCGCTTGTGCATGTGAGGTGTTACAACAAAACGGTATTCGAAAGGAAACTTTTACAAAGGCAATAAAAGAACTCCTGGAAAAGGCCGTAGCAAATTTCGAAATGTTATGATCTGCGGCCGACCAAACACGGGGAAGACATTTCTACTAAACCCGCTCACAAGTGTGTACAGAACTTTTTGCAATCCCGCTTGCACGTCTTTTGCGTGGGTTGGAGCGGAAGACGCAGAATGCATTTTCTTAAATGATTTTCGCTGGTCATCTCAAATAATACAGTGGCATGATTTTCTTCTTTTGCTTGAAGGACAGATGGTGCATGTCCCGGCACCTAAAACTCATTATGCTAAGGACATTGCTTTGGAGAAAGATACTCCTTTTTTTCTGTACAGGAAAACAGCCTTTCGTTTATATTAAAAACGGCGTGATCGATGAGCGAGAAACGGAGATGATGGCTGTAAGGTGGAAGATCTTTCACTTAAATGTACAGATACAAAAAGATGTTCAAAAGGAATTGCGAAACTGCTGTAAATGCTTTGCTACCTTTATATTACAATGATGAAAAGGTCGTTTGCGTTAGGAAAGAAGTGACAAGAAATAGCGAACCAAGCACTGACGATCTACACGGTCTACACGGTCTACCATAACAAGTGACTTTAAAAATACACATGATATCATATTTCTTACTGTTGTGATGGTAGACCGTGCTTATGGTAGACCGTCAGAAAATGAAATAGGACAAAGATACGTATCTAATTCCAGAGTGAATTTTATTTGAAAGCATTTCTTATGAAATAGGATTGACTAGAAATAACAATCGAGCAAAGGTTTTGTTGTGTGTTGTGGTTGTCTTTGAAACGTCACGCAGTGATTCCCAACATGTGACACTAAACCTAAATAGCGTGACAATATTTTTTGCGTTACAAAATAAAGGAAATATTAAACTCTGTTACTCTGAATCGATATGCCCCCCATGCTATACCCCGACCGAAAAACAAATATCATTTTCTTCAGTATTTGGTACGACGACCTCTGTTCTCTAAAATTAAATCTAATCGCTCGTACATTGAGGCGACAGTGTTGTCAACAACTTCTCTTCGTACCGAGTACAATGTACTTTCTACTCGTTGTGCAAACTCTTCAAATGTCTCTGATGTAATATTATGTCTTATGGCTTGCCTTCTCAACTCACGCTTTACTACATTAAACACATTCTCGATAGGATTTAAATCGCCGCTCCGCTTAGGAATAGGAAATAACTTGCCACCGACGTCTTTCAAAGCTTTTCTCGCCTTTGCACAGTTCAAAATAGGACAATTATCTTGCACAAATAGCTTCGAGCCACGTTTTCCGCTCTTTCTGAACATTTTCGGGAAATTTCTTCGCACAAAATCCGCAACAAAATTGCCATGCAGTTTATCATACTGTTCGCAATAAATAACACCCTTTCCGTATGATATAGCTACAATCATTTTTACAACTCTCCCCGCTGAGCCCACATGAGAACCCTTCGCAGTATATGTGAGTCCTTCATTTCGCTTACGCCAAACCTTCCCGTGAGGAGCTCTTGCATCATTCATAGGATTGCTTTTATGATAAAAACTCACCCCATCGAGGTAGAAACAAATGTCAGTTTTAAAAAAGTCTTTAGAATAACTCCTTTGAACATTTCGCGCAAATTGACGTCTCTCTGCGTAATCCTTTTCAGTTAGTATTCCTTTCCTTCTTGCTTCCATGAACCCATACCCCAGCCGCTTTAAAGTTCGATTCATGGTGCACAAAGAAACATGATGTAATCCTGATTCGGCTCGTAATTGGTGACATGAAAAATTTCCTTCCGCTTTGCGGAGCCTTGCAATATTTCGTACGATCATTCGTTCATCCCGCGGACTGATTAGCCGAGGCCTCCCTCGTAACTTTCTATCTTTCTCGCATTTCTTTGCCTTTAAACAACGATAAATAGATGCGCGAGATATTCCACAGAGATCTACTATTTCCTGCACAGTCAATCACCTTCTTCACGAAGAAATCTCATATATGCCTTGCTTTCAGCGTCTATTGTTCTTGTGTAAACCATGTTGTTTTATGCCACGACAGAAGAGCATGCGCTACGTTACGTCACAAACAAAAAGTACAAAATTCGACGAATTCGAACGAGGATTTTGGAGTACAGAACATGCAATTAGAAACCTCAAATGTGTATCAATGTACTAAGCAGATGTTCTCTTTTACAAATAACCTGTGAAAATGTCCCGGTCTTCTAAGACAACCGCGGAATCGAATAACAACTTACCTCTGCATTTAGACAACCAGTTGCAAAAAGACTTGAGACATTGTACCTAATTTGGACGTCAAGGGTGCCTATAAGGTCCTCGCGTTTAGCCCCCCACCCGCTCTCCCTTCTCAAAGTTGGTCACAATAGGAGATCATGCTGAAATTTTCGAACAACAACATTGAAAATAGGGGAGGGTGAGGGGAGTTGCTTAATCTTAGAGATGTGGGATTTTATGCGATGTTTAGTAAGAAAGAGTGTTTTTCAGGTCGTGTGTCAACATTTTTGCAAGTGGTTGTAGCGTCACAGTGCCTCAGCCTTAACTTAAGGTAACAGGTAAGCCAGCGTGTCAAGCAGCGTCTTGGTTTCCACTTTGCCCTTTGTGTCACCAGCTGTTTCGGCCTCTATCTTTTTGCCAGCATGTGATGCAGCACCTCGACCAGTGTTTCGGCCTTTATATCACTCAGTGTCTTGTACAATGTCTAAGCCTCGACCTCTGCCACCTTGTCACCCAAAGCATTAAGTATTGTCCCGGTCTTCACCTCTGTTAGCGTGTAAGCCACAGCATCAATTAGTGCCTAGATCATCACAATGGCCACTGAGTTTCTAGTGACTCACACTTTACCTCTACTAGGCTATCAGTAACACTCTTGGCTTGCACTTGTGGAAACGTGTGAGCCTGCGTATAGGCAAGTGCCTCAGCCTTAACTTCGTTCAGTGTGTCGACATCTCTGCATGCCTCGACTGCTACAACAGTGGCACCTTCTGTTTTGACCGGTGCCTCCACCTGCACACACCTTAGTGTGTCCGCAATGGTCTTAGCGACCACCTCTGAGAGCGTGTCAGGAAACGTGTCGACCAGTGTCAGCCTGCACGTCGCCCTGTGTTTTGCCAACCGTCTTGGCCTCCACCTCTGCGACAGAGGCGACCAACGTTTAAACTAGTGATGCACCCATCACATCCGTCAGTGTCTCGCCAGCTTTGTCGCCGTTCACCTCTGCTACCCTTTAGCCAGCGTGTTAATGATGCCTTAGCGCCCATATCGCGCAGAGTGTCGAGAGTTGTTTAGGCCTCTACCTCTGGTAGGCTGTATTGCGTCGTGTTGACAAGTGTCTCCGCCTCCACATCACCCACTTTCTCGCAAAAAGTTGTCGGCCTCAATCTCTGCTAGCGTGTCGACCAGCGTGTTCAGCACTGCCTAATCCTCCACTTCGACTTGTGTGTCTTGGCCTCAATTCTTTGCCAGCGCGTCTGTAAGCGTTTTGACCTTTTGCTTTGCCTCCATATCGCATAGTGTCTATTCTCGAGTGTCTTGGGCCTTACTTCTCCTAGCGTGTCAGCCAGAGCATCAATTAGTGCCTTGTTCATTACATCGTTCGGTGTGTTTCATAGTGTCTTGGGCTCTACATTTAGTAGCGTTTCAGTTTCTCGGTAACACTTTTGGCCTTCATTTGTGCAAACGTGTGAGCCTGCGTATAGACAAGTGCCTCAGCTTCAACTTTAATTAGTGTGTGGACAACCGTGTAAGCCTCCCGTCCTGCAACAGTGTCACCTTCGGTTTCGACCGGTCTATGCGTCGGTAACACTCTTGGCCTGCACTTGTGAAATTGTGCTAGGCTGCGTATAGTCCAGTGCCTCAGCTTTTACTTTGTTCAGTCTGTCGACAACTGTGTAACCGTCCACACTTGCATTAGTATCACTTTCTTTTTTGACTGGTGCCCCGTCCTCCACACAGGTTAGTGTGTCCACAATTGTCTTGGCCACCACCTCTTATACCGTGTCCGGAAGCGTGTCGACCACTACCTCAGCCTCCAAGTTACCCAGTGTTTTGCACCCCGCCTTGGCCTCGAAATCTCCCAGCATGCCGACAAGCGTATAAACTAGTAATGCGTCTTGCACATCTGTTAGTGTCTTTCCAACGTTTTCAGCCTTCACCTCTGCGAGGCTGTCAGCCAGCGTGTTCGTTGATGCCTCAGTCTCAACATGGCGAAAAGTGAAGCCAGCTTTTTCCGCCTCTACCTGCGCTAGGCTGTCATGCATCGTGCTGACAAGTGCCTCACCCTCCACATCACCCACTGTCTCGTAAAAACTTGTCAAACTAAATCTCTTCTATCATGTCGAACATAGCGTCGAGCAGTTCCTTCGCGTCCACTTTGGCCTGTCTTGCTAAGAGTCTAAACGTCTATTCTTTGCTAGGCTGTCTGCCAAGGTTTTTACCACTTGCTTCGCCTCCATATCGCTTAGTGTCTCATCTCATTTAGTGCCCCGGCCTATGTATGGACTAGTGCCTCAACTTTCACTTCGTTTACCAAATCAGCCTAAATATCTGCTACCGTGTTGGCTAGCTCCTCGAGCAGTGCTTCTCCCTGAGCTTCGCCTTGTGTGTGGTAATTGTCTTGTCATGTTTTCTTTGCTAGCTTGTCTGCTAGCGTTTTAACCACTGGCCTGGCCCGTGGAGACCAGGCCGGGTGCGCTGACCGGTGGGCTGGCTCCATAACTGCCAGTGTTGGGGCTAGCATTAAGACTGGTGATGCGGCCTTCAGATCCGTCAGTGTCTCGCCAACTTTCCCAACCTTTACCGCCAAATTACTTGAGCTCTATTTCTGCTAGCGTGTGAGCCAGCG